AGCTACAACTAGCCTCGAGTATAAAAGGAATAATCATTTACTACTAAATTGCGGCAGGAGATACCTCCAACAAACCTCCGCTGGGCCTTTACTTGTAAGAAATGTCTACCCCAGTTGATGGCTTGTGATTAGAAGCTCACTAACATCGCGCGTGAAGAAACAACAATTTTACTACTATATATTTGCGATAGAAAGTATGCGGGATACCTCCAATAAACAACCGCTCGGGCTTTGACTTGTAAAAATGGTGTGTTACAATTGATGGCTATAAATAGATGATTATATTGGTATCAGAAGTTTACTAACATCGAGCATGAAATGAATACGATTTTACAACCTAATTGCAGCAGCACATATTCGGGATACGTCCAAAAAAAAACAGCTTGGTCTTTTACGGATGGGAAATGTGTGCTCTAGATGATGGCTATAAATAAACGAGACTAGATTGATTTCAAAAGTTTATTAATATAGGGACTATATGTCGATATGCGCATCAGGCTTCATATTCGTTGGACAAACATAGAGCGTAAAATGAATGTATTTTTGCAACTAAATTGCGACAGCACATGTGCAAGATGCCTCCGATAAACATATGATAGTCTTAAATAGATGTGACTATAATGGTATCAGAAGTTTACTGTTATCGAGCATGAAATAAATACAATTTTACTACAAAATTGCGGCAGTACATCTACATTATACAAGGTAACCGCTTGAACTTTTACGTGTAAGAAATGTATGCTCTAGATGATGGCTATAAATAGATGAGAGTAGAGAGGTATCAGAAGTTTACTATTCATCGGGCGTGAAGTGAAATAAATTTTACAACTAAATTACGGTAGCACATATACGAGATACCTCCAATAAACAAACGCTTGGGCCGTTTTTGTAAGTAATGTCTGCTTCATATCATTGCGAGAACTACGAGAAGTTTATTATCACCGAGCATGAAGAAATACAGTTTGAATAGTTATTTTCGGCAGCACATATGCAAGATATCTTCAACAAACATCCGCTTGGGCATTTACTTTTAAGAAAAGTCTGCTCTAGATGATGATTATATGAAACAGATGAGACTAGATTGATATCAGAGGTTGACGAACATCGAGCGCGACAAAATACAAATTACTACTATAAAATTGCGGCAGAAAATATGCGAGATACCTCCTTTAAACATCCATTTGGGTCTTTACTTGTATGAAATATGATGGCTATAAATAGATGAGACTATGATATTGAAATTTTACCACTCAATTGTGATGGAACATATGCGAGGCATCTTTAATAAACAACCACCAGAACTACTATGTGTAAGAAATGTCTGCTTCAGATGATGGCTATAATCAGATGAGACTATGACATTAGAGCTTTACTAACATCGAGCGTAAAACGAATACAATTTTACTACTGCCGCATTTTACTAAAATGCGGCAGCACATATGCGAGATATCTCCAATAAACAATCGCATGGGCCTATACTTGTAAGAAGTGTCTGTAAACAGATGAGATTAGATTGATATCAAAAGTTTATTACTATTGACATAGAGCCTAAAACGAATACAGTTTCCCTACTAAATTGCGGGAGCACCTATGCGAGATACCTCCTGTAAACAACCGCCTGGGCCTTTAACTTGAAAGAATTTTCACTTCTAGATGATGGCTATAAACAGATGAGGCTGCATTGATATCAAATTTGATACTAACATCCAGCGTGGAATAAACGCAATTTTACTGCTATGTAAAATGCAGAAGCCCATCTTCGAGATATCTTCAATATACCACCGTCAGGGCTTTTATTTAAAAAAAAAGTGTGCTCCAGATAATGGTTATAAAATGAAAAAGACTAGATTGATAGAGTTCTCCAACATCGAGTGTGAAACGACACAATTTTACAACTAAGTTGTGACATCAAATATGCGAGATATCTCCAATAATCAACCACCTGGGCCTTTACGTGTAAGAAATGTCAGCTCTAGATGATGGCAATCTTTCTGATGTTAGAGTAATCAGAAATATAGCGGGATTACCGGTAGATTATACCGGGACTCCCGCGTGTCCATAAATATATGAGACTGGATTGATCGCAACCGTTTACTAGTATCGAGCGATACATGAATACTATTTTATTACTAAATTGCGGCAGCAAATATAGGGAACACCTCCTCTAGTCAGCATCTTAGGTCATATTTCTAATGGATCTGGTGTCCCACGCCGGCTAAAGGTCAAGCCTCTTCTCCTCTTAGATGGTCCCGGTTCTTGCTCGTAGGTGAAAGCGGGAGAGTTGTAGCGGTGAAATATCCCTCAATGCCCCGAGTAGTTGCTGATGACAGGTGCTCTAGTTTAGTCGGGGTGTGTGTTGACTGAATGTTCCGTAAAACTATACCTGTATCCAGATATATTAACTATATACGTATAC